TTTCAGGACATGCTAAATTTTTTTGGGCACATTATTTCGGAGGCTGGGGTCGAAATTGACCCGAAGAAGTTGGACACGGTGCAAGCCTGGCACCCCCCGACAAATATCACGGAACTACATAGCTTTTTAGGGTTCGTCAATTACGTGCGTCGGTTCGTCCCCGACATGGCACGGTTAACAGCGCCGCTGACGGACTTGTTACGGAAGGGGGTCGCTTTTACGTGGGGGGAGAAAGAGCATGCTGCCTTCTCTGCCCTGAAAAATGTTATCCGTTCACCGCCCGTACTGCGCATTGCCGACCCTCACCGCCCATTCGAAGTAGTTACCGACGCAAGCGACATCGCCATCGGAGCCGTACTGCTACAGGACTTCGGCAACGGCCTACAGCCCATCGCATACGAATCACGAAAACTGCATCCGCCCGAGAAAAATTACCCGATACACGACCGCGAAATGCTTGCGATTGTGCACGCGTTCAAAGTGTGGCGCTGTTACTTGACCGGCGCAGACGTGACAGTACGGACAGACCATAAATCACTACAGTACCTCCGCGCACAGCCACACATCAACCCACGACAGATTCGCTGGCTCGATTTCCTCGAGTCAAACTTCCACTACACAGTCACCTACAAAAAGGGGGCATCGAACATTGCTGACGCATTGACCCGCCCCACTGCCCTGATCCACGCAATACTACTCGCCCAGACCAGTCCACTACTGACAGGCCTATTTACCCACGGGTACCAAACGGATCCATTATTCACAGGAGGAAGCTCGCAGCAGTTCGCAACAGCAAAGGGAGTCTATTACTTAAAAACTGGGACCGACCGCATCTGGGTACCACGGTACACACTGCTACGGGAGTTACTGTTACAAGAAGCACACGACGGGGTTACCTCAGGGCATTTCGGGGTAGAGAAAACACGGCAGCAGCTGCAGCGGTATTATTACTGGCCCGAGATGTTGACCGACGTACCGACACGTGGCATCGTGTCCCACTTGCCAGCTCATGAAATCATCACGGAAGCGGCCGGCAGGACAGTTGCAACCGATACCACCCCCAGAGCGTGCTTGGCAGCAGGTGACGATGGATTTCGTCACGGGGTTACCAGCCGGGGCAAGTGGGAACGACGCGATCCTGGTCGTCGTCGATCGACTAACGAAAATGGCACACTTCGCAGCCTGCAAAAAAATCAATCACAGCCGAAGAAACAGCACGCCTCTTCATCTCCACCATCGTTCGACTGCACGGGATACCGGCAACGATCACCACCGACCGAGATACGAAATTCACCAGCAACTTCTGGCGGAACCTGTGGCAGCAGTTCGGCACGCGACTACAGTTCAGTTCGTCGTACCACCCCGAGACCGACGGATAGACAGAGAGGACAAATCAGACCATGGAACAACTCATTCGAGCCACGTGCGACGACCCAACCACCTGGGAACAGCAACTGCCACTCATCGAGTTCGCGTACAACAACTCACCTTCCGCCACGACCCAACAGTCACCATTTTACCTGAAGTGCGGACAAGACCCGACAGTACACATGACTCCGCATCCCGACAACCCGGTGCCACGAGCACAACAGTTCGCCGAAATTTTACAAGCAGCACGGAACCAGGCAGCAGACGCAATAAAAAAATTCGAACATCATCGCTAAACGCAACGCCGACCGTCACCGCCGACCTGTCACTTACCAGCCCGACAACCTAGTTTTACTTGACACCCAGAATCTCCGCCTGCCCATCACCCCAAAACTTCGCCCCCGATACTGTGGACCATTCCGCATCAGCCACATGATTACACCCGTCACCGCCCATCTCCTCCTCCCCGCTGACTGGTACGTCAGCCCATCCTTCCACGTCAGCCTGCTTCGCCCCTACGTACCATCCACAAGCCAACTGCCACGCAATCGCCCCGCCAGCATGACACGACCACCGGCCGAGCCAATCATAACACCCGAGAAGATCCTGAGCCACCGAGTTCGTGACCCACGAGGAGCCCGAAGGATCGAATTCCTAATCCGCTGGAGAGACCGTACACCCACCGAAGACAACTGGGTTTCCCTGGACAGAATCGAAAACCACCCCGTCCTCACAGAGTACCTGCGCAGCCGAAATTTCCGGGATGTACACGCGCTTTCGTAAGGAGGGCCTCCTTAGGGGGGGGATAGTGTAAGGAAAATTCCTTTTCCTTACTTCGCGCCCCTGCTCAAGCGCGTACACCACTATAGCATCACAGTCAGCACCGTTACCACTCGCAACCCTCGCATCGACAATCCTCCCGCCACCTTCGTACGTCGCACCCCGACCTCACGGCTCGGCGGGTAACCCGCGCTCCGGGCCTCCGCCTCGACATTTTCCCAAACCTCGGTTCCAGGCCCGTCGCGCGTCACCCACAGTTCATTACCGTTACCACTGTAGTTTCGCTATATATTCTTCGCTCATGCCTTCGCTCATTGTACTCTTATTCGATAGTGCAATTCTCGCTCGCTCACTCAATTGCACTCGAAACATTTTCTATGACTGTACGTGATAGCGGGAAACCAGCATTCACCCCCCTGGTTGCCTTATCGCCTACTTTCCAAAGGTCTGGGAGAGACTGTTCTAGTTGTGTCCTTTACCACACACGTTGACCAAGCCATGACGGATACGGGACTGGACGATGTCACAATGACGTGGATAATCCATCGCCCAAACATGTTAGGACAACTGGCACGATGGGCTTGGAGGAGGTTTGCGTGCTGGGGCCTACAAGGCTCGTCTCAGGCCGCCTTCAGAAGAACCATACCAGCGAAGGAGGTACTGCAACAAGGCTGAACCCGACCGAACCTGAGTTCCTTCTCAACTATGGCAGCCGCAAAGCGACTGCGGCTGGAGGGGGGGATTTGACGGGATGGTGAGATCGCTTGCCTCGGAAGCGAGCTCAGCTCTGGTGTCTGCGTAGGCCGTACCGAAGCGTCTGAAGGCCAATGACAAGCCTCACCCACATTCGACTAATCTAAACCTTGAAGATTTTCAGCTAATAGCGCAGCCTCGATACTAGCCGAACCTGCCATTATGAAACTCTTAGGCTTGTCGGTATGTTCATCAGTCAGTCGTTCCAAGCCTAGTAATAAGGTTAGGGCTCGGGCTAGCTTTGGCTCTTGACCGTGTCCGCTCACTAGTCCCACAGTCGACCTCAAATCCTGTTCAAGAAGCACGTATCGTATTTCCTTGAGCAGTTGGGTCGGTTCTTGGAGTCCAAAACAGTTCAACCACACAATCTATGCTCCATCGCAATGCAACGTCTCTCTAGCTACATAGTGTGTCGTTCTGATGTAGATCACGCCCTGACCAGATCAGTCATACTGAACCAGCCACACACCGCCATCCGAACCAGGTGGGACCCCGAACCCCGAGCCAACACGCGTGATTTCTCCAATGCCGTGCGGGGGTCGCAGTCAGCTGTGGCGGCCGTTTGCGAAACGTTGCTTCCGTCAGCTCAGCAGGGCAGCATCGCTGCACCATCCATCCATCCATGCTGCTGGTTCGTCCGATCTACTGTAACCTGGGTGGGTGGGAGCGATATGAGGCATGGCATTTGAGAGAGAGAACCAAGGCTTCTGCTGGTCGTCCAGCTTGGTTCAGATTGTTCTCACGCGGTAAGTTACGGTTCTTAGCTGTCACCGGTTTCAACCGCAACGAAGCGAGCTAGACCGTGGTACTTGAACTGGGAACGTATGCACAGGAAACACTTGCTCCGTACTATATTAGTGGAATGCTGGCCTAGGGGTTTCACCCCCAGTCCTCCATTCCATAAAATCTTAGCAGCTGGCTGGTGATTCCCTGTGCCTGGTCCGTTTCCGTACTTGACTGTCCTGTCACCGAGATAGCTGCGTCCTCCCCGCGACTCGGATCTCCTGTATCAGTGTTTATATTTCGCGGGCTTTTCTTGAATGCTCATTACTTCGTAGTAGTTTTGAGTTATCAATTGCTCTTGTTTAGAAAGGAGGCTGAGGACGTATTAACCTTTTAATTATCGCTTAAACCGCCGTCATAGAAAGACCCGAGTATTCATTAGCCTTTAAAGCCTTCTTTCACTCGAGAGTCACAGAAGAAGCTCTATCACGCTGAGGAGCTCTGCTAATACAAGCCCGGTTATATTGCCTGATTGATCCGTTACTAAGACTGACTTTCTATTAACAAGGTGCTTTAAGATTTCAAGAATTCTCTTCTGAATGGCCGCCATTTTCTTCCGCTGCTCTGCGCCTCCTTGCGTCTCGCTCACGCTCTCCTCCTCCTCCGCTGCCCGTGGACCTTCTAGCAGCTCTTGCTCCCCTCCCGGTTTCTGCGTAACTTCACGCCGGCCGTTGCTTCCGTCGCCGGAGGGATCTCTTTTGTCTGACGCTACCCGTTCGATCAGCGTTCTCGGTCGCGCAAATTGCCAGAAGAAGCGGAACAGTTGCTGTGGTATCGGCATCAGCGGCAATCGTGGCGGAACCGTCAAATGCTCCTCCGAATTGAGGACACCGTTGATTTCCCCAACTTCCTCTCCGACGATTCCCGCCGTTCCCGTTGTTTCTACTTCTGGTAGCAACGCCGGTAACAGCGCCGGGAGCAGCAGTTGCAATGTTGATGGGGAGGTGGTGAACGCTGGTACTACGAGCCCTACGGAGTCTGTTTATATCGAGTCGTCTTCAGTTGGATCCAGAGAATCCGCTGGGTCTTATGTGGCAGCCAATGGGGAGGATTGTCAGAGCGACTGTGGAGTCGCGGTCCGTGGTACCCGGGAAGGCGCTCCGGAAGCCGTCGGCTCAATGCAGCAGTTTAACTCGGTGTCACGACAGCAAGGACCGGACGCTAAGATTACCGGCGACCGGCAAATCAAGACTGTTGGCGAAGCTAAGAGGAGCGCAGGCGAACGGAGGAAGATTGCAGGACGACGGAAGAAAGCGGCTAGCGGCACACCGCACTCCGAACCCGCCTCCCGTTCCTCGCAGCTCCTCCGCGCGCTGATGCGAGGAAGGTTTGACGAAGCCGCGTCGCTCGCAACGGCTCCCAGCGCAGAACACGGGGTTCGGAATCCTAAGGAATCGGCTCCCGTGTTTATCCGCGCGGCTGCGACGGCCAACGCAGCCGCCATAGGTCTCAGCATCGTGACCGCCGCGCCTTGCCTCCCCACCGTTTCCCCCGCCTCCGCCGCCGCTTTCAACCGCGTTGCTGACGTGGCGGCGGCGGGGCTGCCGGCGGAGGTTCTGCCGCCGATCGCGGCGGTGAATACGGGCGACGTGTGGCCGTCGCTGTACCACTCGGCGCAGTTCTTCTCGTCGTTCCGCTCGCTGCCCGTTCCGATCACGTTCGACCAAGGAAGCTTCGCGGATCGATCGGGCTTCGCCGCGCCGCCGCTAGTGTACACATACCCTTCCGCTGACGTCACGAGTGACGCGTCGGTGGGGACTAGTAACGAGCCGCTAACGGCTCCCGCAGTCGCTGAATCGTCGGCAGTTCCGGCATCCCTGCCGGCTAATCTACCGGCTGCACTACCGACCGCACTACCGGCCGCCTTACCCGCTTCTCTCCCTGCTGGAAACTATGTTCTGCCCGAGCCTACTGCTGCGGTTTTGCGCATGTCCCCCTCTAGGGCTGCGGTGCCCAGTGCGCCTGTGTCGCTCAATTACTCCGCTCCCGCCGCGTCCGCGGATGCGGGGAAGGAGGCGGCGGGTCCCGCGGGCGCGGCTGCTGACGTGGTGTTCGGTGTCAATGTGTCCGTGTTAAAAGCCGCCTTCGGAACTGTGTTTAAGCTCTTCGGCATCTGCGGTAAGATCTAAGACGTCTCAGAATTTAGGTTTGTAAACGCCTCATAAGCTTTGCCGCCTTTTCTCTTTGCAAGGTTTTGGGAAGGCGATTTTTCCCGCCTGGCGTCTCTCTCTTCCTCTACCTTCCCTATCCCATTCCCCCCACCCCTCCCTTCCCTCCCTCCTCTCTTCCTCACTCCCCCCGTGCTCCGTTGCATGTTGCCATACACATTTTACATCTTACATTACTCGCCTCCCATTAAGTCGATGTTCCTTCGCCTCACCTCGCCCCTCTTCCTCCTTCCCCCCGGTGCTCCTTTGCATATCGTCATTCACATTTCCTTACGTTTCGCGCCTCTTCGCCCGTCTAAAAGTTCCTTCGCCTCACCTCGCCCCTCTTCTTCCTCCCCTTCTCCCCTTTGATCCCCCTCCTCTCCTGCCCCCCGTTCGCCCTCCCTTTCCCCCCTGCTCCACCTCCTTTCCATGCTGTGCGTGTGTGCGTGTGTGAGCAGCGTTCGTGGTGTGTCTGCAGAAGTCGGGCATTCTCCCCAAGTCCACGCCCTCTGTGCTCAGCCAGGTGCGCTTGTCCTTGCGTGTGCGTGTGCGTGCGGGGGTTGGGGGGGGGGGCTACTGAGCGTGCGGATGCGGGGTGGGGGTGGTTTGAGTCGGGCATTCTCCCCAAGTCCACGCCCTCTGTGCTCAGCCAGGTGTGTTGATGGGGTTTGCGGGTGTGTGAACGGGGTGGGTGCGAGCAGGCGTGCGTGGTTGGCGATGTTAGCACGTGCGCATGTTTAGCCGTACACCAGTGCTCACACCTGCACCGTTATCAGTCAAGCACACGGGCGCGCGAATAACCAAACATTTCCAGTACTTTATGTACGATTTGTCGCCTCACTGTAGCTTCACTGTGAACTCTTAATGACCCCATGAACCTCCCTTCATCCTCGCTTCTCCCCATGAAACTTTCTTCTGCCTCGCTTCTCTCACCCTCGCCCTCGTCCACCCTCTGTCTCCCCAGGTCTCCTTCCGAGTGCTCATCCCATGCTTCCTAATGAGCAAGGTACGCCTCCCATGCGCTGCTTCTCCTGGCTCTGCTTCTTAGATGTGATATTTGAGTTGACTAGGAAATGTTGTCTCCTTCCGAGTGCTCATCCCATGCTTCCTAATGAGCAAGGTACGCCTCCCATGCACTTCTGTTCCCTGCCTCCGTTTCTTTTATCTCCCGTGCATGCCGATCACAATTTCCCTGGGTTATCATCGAATCATGTGCTTTCCCTCTAATTACCTTCTCACTCTAATCTCGTCACCTTACTCATCCATCTCTTCTCCCGTGTTCTCCCCTCCGCCGTTCCACCCCGTCCCTACGTCCCTCCCCCTCCCCATCCCCCCTCCCCCTCCCCCTCCCCCTCCTGCTCCTCCTTCCCTCCATCGCGTTCCCGCTCTCTGCAGGTGGCCGCTACTCTCTCTGGCGAGTCCCTGTCAGCCCTCGCAGTGCTGCCGCTCATTGCTATTCTCCAGGTAACTACCAGCACAGACTCAACCGCTGCATGCCGTGGGCCATCCGCCTTCTGTTGCCTGATGCCGCGCTGCTGCTTGCTGCCTGTTTGCTGCCTTCTTGCTTGCTGCCTGCCTGCTGCCTTCCCAACACTCCTGCGTTTCTTGTTTCCATGCGTGTGTTTCCTCTCCAGGTGTTAGTAGGCACGGTGTTGGGCAAGGCTGCATGCCTCGTGGCCTTCCACAAGCCGTCTTCACTGCTGCCCTGACGCCTAATGCTGCCCCCCTGTCCTGCCAACACCCCTCCGCGTGTGTTTCCTCTCCAGGTGTTAGTAGGCACGGTGTTGGGCAAGGCTGCGTGCCTCGTGGCCTTCCACAAGCCCTCGTCACTGCTGCCCTCCGCTGCCCTGCTGCCCTCTCTTGTCACCGGCAACACCGGCAGCAGCAGCAGCAGCAGCAGCAGCAACTTGAAGCATGGCGACGGCACCAGCAGAGAAACCCACTCTGAGCTTGTCGCCACTGCTGCCGAACCAGCAGCATCGGCAGCAGCAGTGTCATCAGCAGTAGCATCGGCAGCAGCAGCAGCAGCAGCGGCACTGAGGACAAAGGAGTCGGTGGTGACAGCGGTGTGTGCGTTCAGCAACTCGCTGTCGCTGCCTCTCGTGTTCCTCACGGCGCTGCTCAGCCAGGTGGACGGCGACAGGGCAGCTGGCTACCTCGCTCTCTTCATGATGGGGTGAGTGCTTGTGTGCAAGCCTGCTCCCTCTCCGCAAACCCCTCCTCCCACATGGCAGCCGGCACTGTGGACGATTGGCTACAGCATTCTCAAGGACGTGGGGGTTCTGATCCGCAACCTTTTCCCCCCTCCCCTCCCCTCCCTTCCCCTTTCCACAAACCCATGCTCCTCCCACAGCTGGCAGCCGGCGCTGTGGACGATTGGCTACAGCATCTTGAAGGATGCTGGCAAGCCTGCTGGCGGTGTGAGCAGCAGCAGCAGCAGCACCAAGCCAGCTGCGACTGTTGTTGCTGCTGCTGGTGGTGGTGGTGTTGGTTCCGTGCGTGCGTGGGCGAGCAACGCTGTGGAGTGTGTCTCTGGCGTGGCTAAGAAGGTGTTCAACCCGCCTATGTATGGGGTGAGTTGATGGTTTCCTGTGCACATGGGGCTGATGGTATGGGAGGCTGCGCACGCGTGGGCGAGCAACGCTGTGGAGTGTGTCTCTGGCGTGGCTAAGAAGGTGTTCAACCCGCCTATGTATGGGGTGAGTTGTTTGAATACCAGCCTATATATTGGGTAAGTAGTTTTAAGTACCCCCCATTCCTTCTGGCTTTCGCCAATATTCCTGTCGCTTCCTCTCTTACCTAACCCCTGCGGGTGTTTTTTCCTTGTTTGCTACCCTTTAGGTTCTCGTGGGGGTTGTTATCGGCACCACCCCGCTCGGCCATTTCTTCCTGCCTGCTGCTGCTGATGCTGCTGCGGCTGCTACAGCTGCTGCTGCTGGCTCAGGCGACCTGCTGTCCTCTCTCCTCAGCCCTGCTACAGCCGGAGTGCTAAACCCTCTGTTTGGGGTGAGTGTGTGCTACATCCATTGTTTAGTGTGATTGGGAGCGAGAGGTGTATGATTAGAGGGTTTCGGGTTCAATGACTGGAACCTCCAAATAATTGTGCTCACGCTAACTGTATACTTACTACTTACTGCCTTTCTGCTTTACTACTTATGCTAACCAAGCCTGCAGTCTGCAGGCAGCAGGCATGCTAGGGGGGGCATGTGTCCCTGTCCAAATCATCGTCCTCTCCCCCTCCCTTGCTAACGTGCCCTTTCTTCCTTCCCCACCCGCCCATTCACCCGTTTAGGCAGCAGGCATGCTTGGGGGAGCATGCGTGCCAGTGCAAACCATCAACCTCTCTTCCTCTCTCGCTAATGTGCCCTTTGTCCCTTCCCTACCCGCCCATTCTTCCGTGCAGGCAGCAGGCATGCTAGGGGGAGCATGCGTGCCAGTGCAAACCATCGTCCTCTCTTCCTCTCTCGCTGACGCCCTCCCCTCCAACCTCTCTTGGCCCAAATTCCTCCCCGCGCTCCCCAACCTCCCCACTCCTCCCAACCCCTTCGCAAACCTCCAAAAGTCCCTCTCTGCCAAATTCCCCGCCCCTGTCTTCCCTGCTGGTTCCCCCCCTCTCGCCGATCTCCACCACCTCCTCCAATCCCTCCTCACCCCTTCGTCCTCCTCTTCTTCCTCTTCTCACCCCTCCTCCTCCCCGTCCTCCTACTCCTCTTCCTCCTCTGATTCCGCCTCCTCACTTTGGCTCCTAGCCCGTTTAGTCCCCCACCAACCATTCCTTGGGAACTCCGTTCTAGCAGCTTCCTACTCCACTGCTGCTGCAGCTGCAGCCACCGCTTCAGCTGCTTCAGCAGCTGTTGTCGCCGGTGGCGCCACTGCTGCTGTCCTGGCCGTCCCAGTGCAAGGGAGAGTGGAGAGGGGCGCGGAGGCGTTGGAGAGGGGTGAGGATGGGTTGAAGCAGGTGCGGTCGTGTGAGGCCGAGAGCAACACCGAGGCGGTGGGAGGGGTGGCGATGCTGGGGGATGGGGACGTTACGGGTGCATTGGAGGTGAATGGGCTAGAGGCGGTGGAGTTAGAAATGGATTTGAGCATGGGCCAGGGTGCTGCCATGCACCTGGAGCGACCAAACACTGATGCTGCAGCAGCAGCAGCTGTAGGGGACGCTGATGCTGCCGGTCCTTCCACTGCAGCAGCTGCCGTGGGAGAGGAAGTAGCAGCGCCTATTCGCCCTGTTGCTCCTGCCATGTCTCCTGAACTGGCAGCTGCGCTGGCTCCTGCTACTGCTGCCGCCCTCGCCCCTTCTTCCTCCGCTGTGTTTGCCCATACAGCAGCAACACCAACCGCCACGGCACCTGAATCCGTTGCCACTGCCCGCGCCGCATCTGCTGTTGTCGCTGCCACTGCTGTACCTGCTGCTGTTCCTGCTGCTGCTGCTGCTGCTGCTGCTGCTGCTGCTGCTGCTGCTGCGGTAGCTGCACCTGCCACCGCACCAACTTTGGCAGGGCCGCCAGCAGACCTGCTGGACAATCGTGCGCTGGTAGTGGTGTCACTCGTGCGCCTGCTCGTCTCTCCCATCGTTGGCATGACCAGCATCATGGTGCGTTCCCAGGGTTTAGGGTTGAGGTTGAAGGTATAGACGTTGAGGGTGCCTGCAGGGCCGCCAGCAGACCTGCTGGACAACAATGCGCTGGTAGTGGCTTTTGAATCGACTCAAAAGTCAATAGGATGGCAGCAGCAGTGCCTGCAGGGCCGCCAGCAGACCTGTTGGACAATCGTGCGCCGGTGGTGGTGTCACTCGTGCGCCTGCTGGTGTCTCCCAACGTCGGCATGACCAGCATCATGGTTCGTTCCCAGGGTTTAGGGTCGAGGTTTAAGGTGTAGAGGTTATAAGGTTTAGGGTGCCTGCAGGGCCGCCAGCAGACCTGCTGGACAATCGGGCGCTGGTGGTGGTGTCGCTCGTGCGCCTGCTGGTGTCTCCCATCGTTGGCATGACCAGCATCATGGTGTGTTGCTAGGGTTTAGGGCTCCTTCCTGTGCTGCTTTGTTGGCCTGCCACTGCAGGTGCATCTCCCGCCGTCTTCAACACTCATTCCTCGGTCGCTAACCTCATCTATCTCTCTCTCCCCCCGTTTCTCTTTCCCGCTCTGCCAGGCTCTCTACCACGCTCACCTCATTCCCCAGGACCCTATCTGCGCGCTTTGCCTCATGGTAAGAGTGCTGACGCCAATAAGCTTTCAGGTCTTATGACTGCTCATGCTCACGTATCAATGTTTTCAGTACTCTCTCTTGTTCTACGTCCACTCATCTCGGTTTAACTCATCTCGCTTCCTTCTGCTTGCTCTCGTCCCCCTTTCAGGTGCCCACAGCCATGCCGTCATCTCAGAGCCTCGTGGTTCTCACTCAGGTTAGTTGCCTCTGCTCCCTGGTCAGCATACCAAAATTCATGTATGTGTATCTTGTGCATACTTTCCTTCTTTGTCCTTAGCTGAAGTGGAAACTGCGGAAGCGATATTCCCCATTTTCTCTGCCCTTATTTCTCCATTCTAAATCGTTCCCTCCTCATTCCTCCCTCCTGTTCCCTGACTGCAGCTGAGTTCTAAGACGCGCCCTCTAGCAGGAGTGCTCGCCTCACTCATGCTTCGACAGGTGAGCCCCTTCCGTTCCTTCTACTATGGATATGTTGCCCTTTTCTTTGTTGCAACTCCTCTTCCTCCTGGTCTTTCCTCTCTGGGCTCATCGGCTCTCAATGAAGGAACAATGCCAGCATCGGTTATTGATCAAAATTCATTGTCTGGTTGGAAGATAGAACATGATGCTTACAATAAAAACAACCTGACCACGTGTCACAAAACCACGTGCTGCACAAGACAGATATGGTGCTGTCATTGTTCACTAGGTTTAATGCGGTGCAGCGCAGTTCCATCCATGCCTTATGTTTCTATGAGTCTAAAATGTACATTTTAACTGACAACCAACTTGTCCAGGAAGCTTGCTGCCCGGGACAAAAACATCAATTCTCACAATGAATGGCATTAAACCATAGGGATGCATCAAAACCGTAACACGTTGCCGCACATCGTGGTTAGGTTTGATGCCTCCTTGAATGGTATGCCATCCAAGGTTTATTTTTTTTCTTCCTGCTTGATGTTCAGTGTCAACGGTTAGATGTTCAGTGTCAACAGTTAGATATTCAGTGTTGCCCACAGCAAAAAAATCTCCACTGTAAACAATCCAGACTAATATTTCTGACTCTCGTTCTCCCCACCGTTTCCCCACCCCTCCAGTACGCCCTGGCCATGCTACCCATCACTATCTGGGTCACCGTTTTCCTCACCATCCTCAACATCCCCATGTGATGACCATCCAAGCATGGCACTTCACCCACCACTGTAACTAGCTTTTTCCTCACAGCTGTAGCATGGCAGTGTAAGCGTGGTCGTTTTGGTTTCCTACAATGAATGAGGTGATGTAGGCTAGCGAAAACAGTGGAAAGCAGCATAGGTGGTAGCAGGTAGACATGGTGACAGTACAAGCAGCGGCAGCAACTGCAGCAGGAACTCGACAAGCAGCAGTCATTGGATCAGCAGCAACAGCTGCAGCACAAAGATGGCTTCAAAGTCGTGGTGTTGCTTGCACATGGTATGGCACATAGCAGAACTGCAGCAGCGGAGAAGAGCAAAACATTGTGGATTTTTTAGCAATCTGGGCTAGTATTTATAGGTGCACTACAATCCTTATGCATTGTGGGAAATGTGCAGGAACAGTTTGAATTGTCCACTCCATCCCAAGTGTCAATCGTATATTTACCTTGCATAGAGAATGGTGTAGGTGTAACAATCTTGTGCCCAGTCGAATTAGAAGGCACCGCTGTGAGTGCCCAGTGTGGCATATCTTAACCTGCAAGCAGCAGGGAGAGAGACGGGCACACAGCAGAACTTTCTCTCAGTGAAATGCATGCCAGGAACGAATGCAGAGAGGGCAAACTAACAGGTGAAAACAAATCAACTCACCCATCATCAGTGAAGGTTTAGATGGAGTTGCTGAATGCGTTGTAAGGTAGACTCGGAACGTGACAGCATCTGATCCCCATAAACACAGAGAGCGTAGCATATACAGATCCCACTGCCAGGCTCGCCGCTGGTGCTGGCTGCTGCTACTGACACATGACAGGACAGCTTGTTGTTGGTGCTGTGTCAATAGTTGGCTAGCCACTGCTGGAAACCCTCAAGTGATTTAAAGAATACCCAGGACGAGAGGAGAGACTTCTAGTTGGTGTTAGCTGGACAAGCAACAACTTGGCATGCTGCTGCTGCTGCTGCTGATGTGTCGGGCAGGAGCAAGTTAGAGATGAGACCAAATTGGAAGTCTCCGAGCTGAATTGTCCGAGTCTGTTATTGGGGCTCCCATGCCAGTCGAGTGGAGTGAAGTCGAATCAGGTCAGTCGAATCAGGTCGAGATAGACATTCCTGTGTTACAGAGACAGCTCCGGAGCAGAAGCAGCAGGGTCTCTGGGCTGGGTGAGCTCAACAGTTGACAGAATGGCTTGCTGCTGTTGGTACCGCTGCTGATGCTGGGTCTGACATGATTCGAGAGATTCGCGGGGGATCAGAGAGGAAACGAGTGGCATGAGGTTACAGGGGCAGCTCCGGTGAAGTACCAGCAGCGTCTCTGGTCCGCGTAGCCTTGACAGGTGCGAGGATGCCTTGCTGCTGCTGCTGCTGCTGCTGCTGCTGTTGATGCTGCTGATGCTGGGCTTGAGACGGTTCCAAGGGGGGGACCAGAGAGGAGACGAGCGCCATGAGGTGGAGTGGCAGAGCGGCCGAACCGAGGAACGATGCAGCCTCCATGAGGCAGTGCATGCAACCTGCCATCTCGCCCGCTTGCCCCTGCAGCCACGCCAGCAGGGACCCGCTGTCGATTAACAGAGTGCTCGTGTCGGCCAATCCATCGGTGACACGTGGCAAGAGGAAGAGTTGGCTGAGAGGTGTGGCGCCAATCAGGAGACCTGCTAGCACCTGACGGCGGCGCAGAGGAGAGGGAGAAGAGTCAAGGTGAGACAAGGTGATTCAAATCAAGGACACAAGGAGGGGAAAGGAGGCACATGAGTGGACAGCAGGACACGTGAAGTGAGGGTGTTTTTGAGACGTTTCAAAAACACCCTCACTTCACGTGTTTTTGAGACGTCTCAAAAACACCCTCACTTCACGTGGTGATTCAAATCAAGGACACACGGAGAGGAAAGGAGACACATGAGTGGACAGCAGGACAAGGGAGAGACATGGGTGGGAGAGAAATGGGTGGATGGGCGGCAGGACAAAGGATACGAACGTATGGAGAGGAGGTGAATGAGGGTGAAGGGGAAGGGAAATGATGAAAGGGTGAGAAAAGGGGAATAAAGGGGTGTGGTTGTGCATGCGCATGTGGGTGGGGTGAGAAGGAGAGCGGGAGAAACAACAGGGCAACCGAACTCACTCCAAGAACAGGAGGGGTGAAGAAATGATTCGAAAGCGACGGCCCAGAGGGGCTCGAAAGCAGGCTAGAATCCATTGCATCTGGCCGCGTTTGGATCCACAGCAGAGCGTTGCATGCCAGAATGAGTAGCGCCGGGGCCCACCTGTTGATTCGCGCATTGACGGGACGTGGGAGGTGGGATGGGGGAAGGGGGAGGGGGAGGGGGATGGAGAGGGAAAGGGGGCGACGACAGCTTAGTCAACAATAGTCAACAACAGGCGCCTCAAAAGCCGTGACAGGTGGACACTGGACAGAGAGAGGCGATGCTGTCTCAAGCAGCAAGACAGGACACGAGAGAAAAGACAGGACACGAGAGAAAAGACAGGACATGAGAGAATGCAATGCGACTTGCTGAAGCAACGCACTCCACCTCGCCTCACTCAACCGCTCTCTCAACCCCCCCCTCACTCATTCCCCCTCCACTCATCCCTTCCCCCGGCCCCCCACACTCATTCCCCCTCCGCTCATCGCTTTCCCCCGGCCCCCCACACTAATTTCCCCCTCCACCCAACCTCCCTTTCCCCTAGCCCCTCCCACTCGTTCCCCCGTCCACTCACCCGCCCACGGCAAGCAGCGCCAGCTGTCCCGCCAGTCCGTCCGCCTGTCTCGCAGACGGCCGTCATGCCGACCAGCAAAAGCAGCGCCATCTCTTCCCCGCTCTTCCTCCCTCAATCTCCCACTCGTACCAACAAACTCACCCGCCCACGGCGAGCAGCGCCAGTTGTCCCGCCAGTCCGTCGCCGCCTCCCCCTGTCTCACAGACGGCCGTCATGACGACCAGCAACAGCAGCGTCATCACTGGCGAGCCGAGCCGACCGCCGAGATTGCCAGCAGCGTCACTACCGCCTGCTGCTGCAGCAGATTTGGCGGCTGGTTCGGTGGTTGGTTCGGCGGCCGGTTGGTTGAGGGAGGAGAGGGAGACGGAGATGGCGGCAGCGAGTTGGTGCAGAGCGGTTGAGGGGAGTGGAGAGAGATGAAGCGGCCGGGGGAGGAATGAGGAGGATGAGGAGGATTGGGGGGAGGATTGGTGAGCGAGGTGACCCAACGAGGCTGCACAGAGAACCTGGATGAGAGAGGGCAGGGGATTTGACAGCAGGACAAGACAGAGAGAGAGAACGAAGTGACTCTTGAGTCGACGGAAAAGTCACTAGGTGACGGAATGAGGCTGCACAGAGGAACTGGATGAGAGAGGGTACGAGGCGGCGAGGACAAGACAGAGAGAGAGCGAGGTGGCTTTTGAGTTGACGCAATGGAGAGGAAAGACAAGTCACGAGGTGAGAAGAAGGGGGAGCAGACGTGCGCGAGTGCAATGAGGGTGAGCGAGGATAGCACCAACTAAGGTTCACTATTTGAGTCGACTCGAAAAGAAGAGGAGAAGTGAAGAGAAGAGAAGAGACGGAAGGGGGAGCATACCTGCGCGAATGCTATGAGGGGGAGCGAGGATAGCACCAGCTCAGGTTCACTCGAAACTGCCGACGCCACGTGTAAAGCCAGGAAGCACGGGATGAGCACGCGATTCGCCACCTGGAACGAGACAGGGTACGCACCGGGGAAGGCGGAAGGCGGAAGGCAGGCGGAAGGCCGAGGAAATAGAAAGAGGGAGTGCGACGCAAGGGAGGGGGATCCGAGTCAGCAACGTGCGTTCAGAGGGGAAATAGACACCGACGCATGGACGGAGCGACAGCGAGTAGCTAGCAGCAGAGAGCGAGAGAGAGCGAGGAAAGATACGAGAGGAACGGAGCAAGCGATTGAGCGCACCTGGGCTAGGACGTGGGCTGTGGAAGGTGGCAGAGTGCCGACTCGCTGGAACCAAACCAGCAGCACTGCGAAATGAACGGTAACGAAACAAGCGAAACGAAAGGTAACACGCCAGAAGAAAGGAAACACGTCAAACGAAAACGTAAAGCACAATGACGGACGTGAGAACAGTAAGGCTGTCCGTAAGTACGCAGGCAACAAGAAATGCCTCAGGCGAACAGCTACAATGACAAGCAAGCAGCCATGACCGGAGGCAAATGAAATATTTTAGACGAAGAAGAACGGCTTACTGCGAGTAATGGATATGCATCAGATGCACCACGTGAATACAAAAAAATCCTTACCGCAGGCGGCGACGAGATTCGAACACGTGCTGACCACGCCGCGCGACGACGCGTCGCGTGAAGCCAGCTGCATAATCGGACCCGATTTGGACGCGCCTGAGACACTATCGGAAAGTAAGACTGTAACCGCGTTGTCTGCTATCGAAGGTGCTACTGTAGCGGGTAATAAAGTCAAACTTAAATCGCCAAAACTTTCCAATGAAGGCGCTGCGAGCGATGCCGGCGCGAGGACCATGCCCTTCTCTAGCGCGGAAGAATCGCGGAACAAGACCGATTCCGCTTGCGGAACCGACTCGAACGAGGTGACGTCAGCGGCTAGAGCAGGAAGAGCAGAAAAAGCGAGGGCTGCGCTTATGGCTGCCGCTGAAGCGAGAGAGAGAGGTCGGGGGAGCGATGCGGAAAGGCTGGATGGGGGGGTATGACCTGCATCTGGAGTGTCGGAGTTCGTTGTGTGGTGTATTCTAGTACGAGCCTTAATATTGTCTAAGGTGCAACTGATGCCGTTTGTGGGGCGACAAGGAGGCGAGGAAGCTTGTGACGGGGATATATAGAGTGGATTGAATCTTAATGGCAGTGGGTTGCGGAGAGCGGAACGACGGAGGAGAGGGGGCGAGGCTGGGCAAAATGGGGAAGGTCTGGGAGAGGAATGTAACTGATAAGCCGAAACCTCAGGGGTGAGGCGATGACTGACAGTTGAGCAACAGAGGGACGCCATGACGATTTGCTTGTACAATTCAAGGTTGGCGATGTTGTCTTCGCGTTCGCGGGGACGATCTGGAGAGATGATTTCTCACGAGGCCTAGCAACTTTGCGACCTTCCGATTTCGCGACCTAGCAAGTATACGACTGGACGGCTATGCTTGCAGCACTTCACTGCTCGCTGACGTAGACAGAGCAGGCCAGAGGAGCGTAAGCAGAACTACCTAAGCTTCCAGCAACTCTAGCATAAATCACGTTGTCAATGCGACGGAAACTTGTGGAGCGGAGTTGCTAGCGCAGAGAGATCAGACAATGTCTTATACACTGACGATACAGACTTGAAGGTTGGAAAATGCTTTGGTGATTGACTGGAGCTTGATGCACTGAAATGGTGGTAAATAAGCACGCGGAATGTGCGTGCCCTCCTGGAAAGAGAAGAACAGCTATAGATTGAGAACGAGAACTAGCCACAGATTTAGGATAAAGCAGTCTTCCCCTGCGAGAGTAGTTCTCACGCTTTCTGTTGGCTGGATGATGAAAGCATTGCGTCAACTCAACCACACAACGCTGAAGCTATGGCGGTTTTGCAGGCATCTTTGCAACTACCATACCGTAGCGTACCCGAACGTTCTGTATCTGACTTCACCGTTTCCCATCTTGCTAATAGTGGGACCCAGCAGCCTTGGGAATTGGTGCGTGTGTACCCCTGACCCCCTCTTCCGTGAGGGTGGTGGTGATGAGCAGAATCGTGTGGCTGGCTGGCGGCGGCAACACCGAGGCACCAACCTATCCCGAAGCGAACTTTGCGAGGAAAAGATGAAGATTCTGCCTGAGGTGTCGTCGTCAGGTCACTCGTGCGATGCTATGCGACTCGAGAGATACGACAGGCAGATGCAGAAGATGCGGAAGAAGCGTGCTTTTGTAAAGGCGTGTTTTACGTCGGTGTCGCCATTTGTCACAAAACCACTACTCCGTTTGCGTAAAGAACAACACACAATCAGCCCTTTTGCATATATTACCTTCAAGGTGTCATGAAACATTACTTCGGATCCGTTGTGGAAACAGCATGTCAACGATCGCAGTGAGATTCGCCAACTCCAAACATCCTGCTGGCGGAATATTCCGTCTCAAGCAATGTGGAGTATCGCCAACCAATCGTCTCGTCGTCGACTTGCTGAACACAGGGATCCAGGTAAGCAACGGGAGCAATTTATGATGCGCTGTCAAGGGGGTGGGAGTATTACGGCTGACTCGTCGCCAGCGACATTGTCGCTGCGTCGGGTATTGGTCGACCCGAACCAGCGGTGGACATGTAGATGATGCCAAACCAGGCACTTCACAAGAACGGAATATTCTTGCTGAACAGGTAAGCGTGGGAAATCGTGCTACACCTTGATTCGATTTCACATACGTGGATAGAAAGGTCAACGCTATAACTTAATGTTCACGTGCATATTCCATAACATAAAAGACATGACCCCTTCTGAGCATGACCTCGATGAGGTGCACTTGGCTCGCTGTCGCACAAGGTGCAAACTGGGAGAATGGAGTAGGGGCTTGGCGTGTCTTACAGCTGGCAGTATGGCGCAGCCCTCTCAGCACATTGTTGACTCGCTACGCGCCAAACACCCATCGTGCGGGACTGCCATTCCGGAGTGGGTTAAGGAGGCGACAGACGAGCCGTCCCTCATACCCCAGTTACCAGTTAAGGAGGCACTCAGCCAGGCAATCCATTCGGGGGTTGTGGGTCCTTACACAGTGGACCAGGAGAGATGTAGTGGAGCGTATGCTACCCTGGTTCACTCCGTCCAACTTTGTAGGTCTATCGAAGCCGAGTGGTGACGTTCGTTCAGTGGCTATCGACGAGGTGCTCATCGCATACTGTTTCGAGCTCTATGCATCGTGATTCGCTTGAAAATGTGGTCGCACTTCTCTCCGGTTAATGAGCTTGGAGTGGGGTCCAGGTCGGGAGTGAAAGTCATAGCACACGCCGTTCGCTCCGCCATCTCTACCCGCCCGACGTTTTGCGCGCTTCAAGTAGACGTGGCAAATGCTCTCAACTCTTTCAATCGGCGGGATATGTTTGAGGGCATTTGTTAGCCACCTTTTGCTGGATAGATTCCATTCGTGCGCATCTTATATGGCACCTCTAGCGACCTCTATCTTCGTGCAAGCCCTTTCGTCCATGCTTTGGCTTCCGAGCTGGGCTCGAGGCAAAGGGACCCATTGGGGCCGTTCCTATTCGCGTTCACACAGCAGCTAGTCATGGAACCGACCAAGTATAAATTTGCCGACCTCATTTTCCTCAACTACGCCGATGATACGTACATTTTGGGGCCCAAGAAGCGGGTGTTGGCAGCCTATGAGGTAATGTGGGAACGACTGGGCGGGCTTGGTGTGGAGGTGCAACTACATAAGTGCAAGCTGTGGGAACGAGGGGTGGATCAGGAGGAAGAGGAGTGGAATGAGGAACGTCCGCCCGGCATGCATCAAACCTGGACGGGGCTCATCGTAGTAGGTGTCCCAATTGGGGAGGAGGTCTGGGAGGTGGCTCGCCTGTGAGACCGTCTGACGCAACAGCAGGCACTTGTCCCATGGCTTCCCCTGCTTGACCACCCACGTGTTGCGTCTCAACTATTGGCGATCACGGTATCCGCGCGACCGATTTATCACACGCGAACGATGCCCCCACGGCCAGGGGTAGTGGAGGCGTTCCGAGAGTGGGAGACGGGCCTCGAGGATTGCTTTGAGCAGCTGTATCCTCATAGTACTTGGGATCATAATTCGGGAAAGTCGCAGATGGCCCACCTGCATCAGCACCTTCCTGCCAGACTGGGAGGTTTTGGCATACGGTTTGCAACGAACCTCAGTCCTTTGTCGTATGTCTGCAGTTGGTGCCAGGCGGTGATGTTTCTCGGATGGGGGTGGCAGGGGAAGAACGGATATTTTAGGAGTTTTTTCGCACGCCTGAGACTACGACCTTGCTGGATCCCTGGTTCTTGGGAGCGGTGGAGCTACTTCTGCAGCCGGTCTGGTAGGAGATGCCGCCCCTTGCCTTATGCACTACGGACCCCCTACTACTACTTTTCCCTACCCAACACTGTCGCCTAGCGGTTGAGAGCCTGCAGTCTCTTCGAGGCGTGGCCCATAACGATGCCACCTTATCTAATTTGACATCCCTTTACGACCCGGGGGCGGGGGCGTGGGTTTCTGCCATTTCGTTGCATGTTGAGGCTACCTTCACCGCAGCCGAGCGGAGCATCTATGATCAAGTCAAGCCAAGGTCGCATCAAGTCTATTCAAGTCGATTATGGGACCCTTCTCTGCTCCCATCTCCGCCCTCCTTTCCCCAGGTGGCCTTCCAAGTGCCCATCCCCTGCTTCGTGATAAGTAAGCTCGCCTTCACTCTCTCTGGACAACCCTTTATCAGCTGTTTACTCTCATTTTCATGTTGCCCCCTTCCCTCTCTATCTCTCCAGGTGGCTTTCCAAGCGCTTATCCCTCTTTTCTGAAGACCAGTGTCGTCTCCACTCTCGCCGTTCAGCCACTCACCTCCCTCGCTGTTCCGCCCCTCCTCGCCGTCCTTCAGGTGCCCTCCACCCCCCACCACTCCTCTCCACTCCACTCCCGTCCATTTTACCTCTTCACTTATCTCTACTCCTCTCCACTCTACTCCTCTCTCCCCCTCTCCACACACCATGAACTGTACTCGGCCAAACATGGCATTTCTCCCTACCACCCATTATAAATATCACATGCTAATTCACCATCCACATGCACGCACAACCCCTTTTCCTTCCACCATCTCAAGTTCCCACCCCCCCAGGGCGTATACCACCAACCCCACATCCACTTTCCAGATCCTCTGTGGAGCAGCTATGGGCAAGCTAGCTGGCTCTCTCGCCCACTACCGTCCCTCCCTCACCTCCCTCACTTCTGCACTGATTTTGTTCTCCGTTTACCCTTGAAATATCCTTCCAGCCCACTCCATCACACTCTCCCTTCTCCCCAGATCCTCTGTGGGGCAGCGTTGGGCAAGCTGGGCTACACAATTGCCTACTGCCATCCCTCCTCACTTTCCTCGCTCCTCTCCCATCCTTCTGCCCGCCACATCGCCTTTTCCGTCGCCCAGAGCCTCGGCCTCTTCCCCTCTGCCGCCGCCCTCCTCTCAGCCCTCCCCCCTCCTCCTCTTTCTTCCCCTTCCCCTGACAACGAATCCAGGTCTTTTGTGCAGTGAGGAAGGGGCAGGAGAGGGAGGGGAGAGGAAAAGGAGGGGGGAGTGGAGGGGAAGGAGGGTGGCTGGAAGGTGGCGCCTGGGTGGGGCGTTTGTCTGCACCTGGGATGGTTGGGGTGACGGAGCGGGCATCGGGGAGA